ACGCACACACACTACCTGTACTTTCTACACACACATTCATACATATTCACAAACAAAGAATCACTCCACTCCAGCTCTGCAGCTACCAAAAACAGATGACATCACTTCATGATGACATCACCCCCCTCTCTCTCTGTCTGTACCTTGTACTAAGCCCCCATCTCTTTTTTTGTTTCATCCCTGCTTCAATTTCATCTGTGCCACACACACACATGGAAGCTGGATGTAGTAGAACTGAAACCTATAATATTATTAATATAAATGCTGCACCATCCTGCATTCAAATGTGTGGATATAATAATGATGCATTATATTTGAACTGTTACAATTTGTAAAATCTAAATCTGCAACGTTACCTGAATCATTTCAATATACTTACATACACAAAACACATTTATTTCAGATTAAAAGCAGTTCTGAAGAGGTGAGTGTTGATTTGTGATTTAAACATGGAGAGATTGGTGCAGCCACACATGTGTTTTAGGAGGGAGGGGCAAGCAATGGAAAAGGCTTCCCCCCCCCTGGTGTACCATGGTTTTCTCTGAAGTAGCACTACACAGAGAGTGCTTTTGCTTTGGGGGCTTTTTAATACGTTTTTGTGGAGTATATTGAGTTATGGCAGTACATCTGAAGCTGCTTTAGGAGTGCCAGGGGATTGCTAGCCGTTCCCAAAGGTTTGCCCCCCAGGAGTTTTTTCCTCCTTATCTGAGAGTTTTGTTTCAGACTGTAAGTAACCACAAATTGTGTGTATGACGAAACTCTGTCTCTGCACAGTGAGAAGGTGTTAGAATAGGCACTTGATAGCACAGGCCAGGCATGCAGCCCGCTCAGAAGCGCTACGCCTTTTATGGGCACTGCAGTAGTGGTACATCAAAGATAGAAAGAGATGAAAGCAGCGTGGGGATGTGAGTGATCTAACCATACAGTGATATCATACTGGTAAATGGGATTTGAGGACTGCCTACAGATGATCTCATCCTCCTCCTCATCCTCAGCTGAAGCACAAGCTCTGCCCGCTGGAGGAGACTCAGCTAGAGCTCCAGGACTCTGTTAAAGAGGACATATTCCGCTCGCTTCCAGCTTGATATTAGTATAGTGTGCTTTACTGTGCCATGTTCCCAATGTCTCATACCACCTGTGCTGCAGCACCTCTTTTCACCCTCTGTCTGAAACCAGAACCCAGTCTGCTCTGATCAAATATTTCTGTCGGTGCTCAAGACCTTATTCAAAACAATTGACTTTTCTCATGAGGTCATGAAGGCTTTGAATTGCGGGAATATTGAGTTTATCTCAATCTAAGTCACAAAAGCCACTGTTAACCTTTATATAAACAGTCTATGCTGTTAACAAGTTATCCACAATGCCCATCCAATGGTCTGACAGCAGGAGTGAAAGATATGTTTATAATTACATGGCATTATTTTGCATGGATGAGAAGTGTACAAAGTGCTGAAGAAAAACTAAATATTTAAACACCTGGCAATCTATGAGATTGCATGATGTTAAAAAACTGGAGGCGAGATTTATTAGACAATAGATTAGTGCAGGTTAAGAAAAGCCACATGTAATGAAGAACACAGTTTCTTTGTGTGTGTCACTAAGATTTTGAAAGATGAAGAGGAAACAACAGAGGGTGTCGTATTGTCATACTGATATTCTGTACAAACTGTGAAGTCCACTGAGACAAATGTAACATTTGTGATATTGGGCTATATAAATAAACATTGATTGATTGAAGATTGTATCCACTAGAGAACGCCTGATCAAAAGAGGCTTTTTCCTACACGCAGGGCATTGTGTGTGTGTGTGTGTGTGTGTGTGTGTGTGTGTGTGTGTGTGTGTGTGTGTGTGTGTGTGTGTGTGTGTGTGTGTGTGTGTGTGTGTGTGTGTGTGTGTGTGTGTGTGTGTGTGTGTACAGTAGACTCACCCACTATTCCCAGGGCCACATATGAGAGTATGGCAATGATGAAGATCAAACAACACAAGATATCAGTGCAGCTTCTGAAAAGACAAACAAGAATACAAAATATATAATGTTCATAAAAGAGTCATATTTATTATTCCGCAATATTCTGATAGACTTTTTTGTTTTAATATACAATTTGAGTTCAAAATCATCCTGAGGCTTATATTGTTGTTTTTAGGGAAGTGATTGTGAAGATAACATTTCAATAATACATACACTAGGCTGCCGTACTGTAAATAAAGCATTTGTAATATCTGAGTATGTTCTGCCTCTGGCACCGCTACAGGCTGGACAAAGACAGAAAGAGAAAGTGTTGAAGAGGAGGGAGAGAGAATGTATTCCTCTTTATGGAAAGAAGGACTTTAAGATGGAATAACTCCAGATGTTCTGACAGTGACAAAGCAGAACTTGCTATTATGATGCAGTTGTTTACAGTAGCAAAGCTGGAGTGTAACATGTAACCACGAGCAACTGTGATGTCATGGTGCACTGAAACACCGGGAGATCACGTTTTGTATCAGGACATTCAAGATGTACAGCTGCTCATAAGTTATGTTGTTATAATGCTTCATTTTGCATCATCCTCTAAAAGAAAGACATACTGTATATGTTTTTAATAATATAAGCACCCACCTGCGAGGGCAGCCCAGCTAAGGTATGTGAAATCCAGATATTTGAAGAGCTTGCATATCATACATTACATTTAGACATTTGAGGTATTTCCAAGGATCTGCTGGGACCCTGTATAGAAGGGTTACATGACTCTGGACATGGGGAACACTCACGGGCAGGAAGGAGAGCTTGAGCATGGGTTATCCAGGGAATAGTAGTGAAAACATAAATAATGCAATCATTCAGTTTAGACATGACTTAATTACATACGCTAAGGTATCTCTGTAGCTTTGATGCAAAGAAAGATGACTGACTTACCTTCTGCGGACTGGACCTCTGAAGGAAGCATCGAACCTGTGTGCTTCTCCTGGAGGAGACACAAATCAATACAAATATGTAATGCACTATGTACAAACACAGTCAATTCATTCCCAGGTGAGGGGAGGCGGGGGTGGGGGGTGACAGTTAACAGTGGGCTGAGGTGTGCAGCAGACGGTTGCTCAAAGTGGACAAGCCACAGTTTGCATTGCGAAAGTATTGTTGCTCAGTTGTTTGTGAGGACAAAGAGCTCCTGGAGATCCTGTTGCTTCTCTTCTCTGCTGTGATTGGTCAACCCTTTAGAGAACTCCTGTGTGGTTGAAATGATGCTACAAAGTCAATCTACACAATGAGTTGTCTTGGAGTATTTACTACGAACAAACAAACAAAACAAGCTTTTTGCAGAAAATGACTCAGCATCACAGAGCACATGCACTTGGCAAGAGTCAGGAGTTCTGAGTAAAGGGTTCGGGTCTGGGGATTCTTTATCTGTTGGTGGCCCCCCTCCCTGAAAGCAGAACTCCTTCCCACCAGTCCCTGACAGTAACCTTGAATGCCTCATCACTCGTTGTTGTATGAGTCTGTGTTAGAGGTAACACTCCCACATATGGTATGCTATAACCAGTGGCATAGCCTTAAAAGAAAAAATTCACATTGGTAAGTAAAATAGAGTTTAAACAGTTGTAATTCACTTTTTACACTGAGGCCGTCATCGGTTCAGAGTGGTCATAATTCTCCTTCTACACTGAGGCAAGCTAAATTAAAAGAAGGTCCAAACGATTACCACTTCTTCAGTATAAGCATAGAATTATAAGTATAATACTTCGTCTTTGAGCACTGGGAAAAGCACTATATAAATCTTATGAGTTACCGAACAGCGTGTGGCATGACAACTGGTGACATTCTATAACGGTAGGCAGATGTATCAGGGGCTTGAGGAGCCATTGTCGAATAACCAGGAAATACACATTTCGATCGCTTCTTCTGTCGTTTACATTCATCTTTTGGTATATTTGGCTGGATAGGAACACTTTGATGCACATTCAGTACCAGTGTGTGAGGTTGTGGTTGTGATGCCGATATCCGGACGCGTACAGCGAGGACTACAAAAAGACAAATGAGGTGACTGGGGATGTCTGTTCAAAACATTGCAAGCTTGAATAAATCATTTAAACCAGTTATTTTTGCCAGATGTATTACTGTACATCGTTCTTAATGTGATACCAAGTCCATCTGAGACCTGTGTGCACCTTCAGACAGCCTACACGTGAAGCACACGTTGTTTACTCACAGTTTGAAAGCAGCGTGGAGAAGTCTTCAGCTGAGCTGTGATCCGCTCAGGGTAAACTGTGATACGACTTCTGTTCTGTGGCTATCTACCAGCGATCATGTTTAATATGAAAGACTACACACATGTCTCCCTTATCACAACGGTATTCTGCACTTTGCAGCACTTATCCAGATAAGATGTGACTGTTTACTTGGTTAACTTTCGTGATGCATCGATACAGCGACACAAACCGAATGACGAGGGTACTCACATACGTTGAGAACTAGAAACACATTCATACTTTTTCACACTGTTGTGAACATGTTTTCGTTTCTATCTTAACGTTTATGCGCTTATCTGTGTGGTCTTTGGTCTCATATGTTTTATCTATTTCTGTGTAACTTGGTAATATTAATATGAATTCCTTGTTATTGTTGTCTTTCCATCTGTCGGTGATGATTATACCTAGCTACTACATAACAAAACACATGGCCTGATTTGCATATTTGAACTTAATGTGTGCACTAGAATACATTTATATGTGAAATGACCACTTATCACAACATAATGTGGGCTCGCAGGCTGATCGATAAATCTGATCTTGGTGGGTCTTAATGAGGCTTGATACAGACCTCAGTCAGTATATACTATTTCAAAGCAAATGCCTACTATAATATTTATCCCCATAATGACCGCCTCGCTGCACACTATCCCGCTTATTACACGGCCATATACTAAACAAACTACAGAGCCCATTCCGTGTTCCTGTTTACTTCCTGTCTGCCTTCTTCTAGTGATTTATCTGACGTCCAGCGCTCCGTCTTTTACCCTCTTTTCCTTTCTCTTTCTTGATCCTCCTTAGCAACCTTCATTATAGTCCTTGACACTGGTCTGTACTAATGTATTAACAACGTGTCACATGGTAAGAATTTACAATCAGAATCGAGTATTCAACTAAGCCGTGTAATAAAAGTTGTTAGTAGCCTCAAGCGCCTACACAGTTGTTATGCTATACCACATCGCCCTTCACTGGATGTATAATGAGCTGCACTAAACTACATGTTAGCATTTCAAATACCTAGCCATTCTTTTGAGGTTATTTTGGTGAAAGTAACTCAAAAGTAATATAAAAGTAGTGTAACTCATTACATTTCAGAGACCATACACCACATTGATTTTAAGAATAAGAATAATAATTATTAGTTTGTTACATCTTCAACTTTTTGTATTACTGTTGATTATACCGTTGTTCTGTAATATATATATATATTTTCCATACATAAATATATATTATACATCATATATATACAGTATACATACATATATGTATGCAAGTATTGCTAATGCCATTGTTTTTAAGTTTTTGTACATAGTCCTCAGTCTCAAATGCTTCAATTGTTTATGGAGGCATTCAAATGTAAGACTGGTAAATGAACATGAAAACTCCTGTTTCTTATGCATGAAGTCATACTGGGATGTTTGCTGAGATGGATTGCATGTGGCACAGCCCTACCACCAGCTGCCACTGTCAACCACTGCTAAGCTAAGACATTCACCAGCGGGGTAATTACTAACGTATTTCATGTTGTAACAAAACTTTAACATTTCTTCAGCTTTTGGGTTAACCAAAGGCCTTTTTTCAGGCTTCTAACAAAAAACATGTTCAAAACTCAAACTAGGAGTGCTAAATGCAAACTAATTTCAGAGCTTTAGGACTCATTCCTGCCCCACTGTATAATAAGTGACCACTTATCCTCAGGGGGTAAGGGGGACCGAGAGGCCAGGTAAAGCTGGACAGTCCATTGCAGTGCTGATGCATGAGGACGACACAGCTTTCCTTAGCATACAGAAAGGGAGAAAACACTATCACTAAAAATGTAAACAACAATACATACAAAAATATCTCTATCACTCTATGTCTTTGGTAATGATGTGTATATGGGATAGTTAGTGCACAACAAGACATCTTGTAGAAGTAAACAGACGGAGGTCAGCTGATGGCATTAGTGAGCAGTAATGCTCAGCTAATCTTTATCCTGCTGACTGAAATAGCCCGTCTGCTGAGTCTGAAGCACTGACACCTCTGCTGGCAGGGTTTTATTGGCTTGGTTTAGACTTCTCATTAGCAATCAACACATCTTCTACAATGAAGATCAGCATAAAGGTAGCAGAGAGCAGGGGATGCAGGCTGAGTTTCTGAGTGGGATCCAGCATGACAATAGCTGCTCTCTGTAGCTATACACAGAAGGCTAGTGGCCAGAGAGATATTTAGAGGCCACCAAAGGGGCGAGAAAGGGCCCCTGCAGTCCCTCTGGGAAATGGAAGAGCTGATTAGTGAAGTTATAATGAGGGGTTATCTATATTATAACATCTATTTACATTTACAACAAATAAACAAGGTTGGAGAAGCCTGGAGTGGACTTTAAAACAAAATGACCATCACTAATTACACAATAGAGACAAATTGCTGCCATTTTCAGTACATTTTATGATATAAACTGTGTGTTTTCTATTTGAAGTACACAAGTATCCCCGTCTTAAAAGTGGGTCACTCCTACATACAGTATCACATATGGTGGGAGGGGTGGATAGTATTTCTTCATGTGGACTAACACATTGTGAACAAAAAAAGTATTCAACTTACAGTCAATACACAGTTTACTTATGTAAACATTACACACATTGATGAACTTGCATCCAAGATGAGATGCCAAGTATCTGGCTTGAACTAGCATCACAGAGCAGCAAACTTCTGCACTTTTTTTCTTGAGACAGCAGGGCATGTTTGGTTTTTTCTTTGAGGGAAATAGTTTTTTTTAAGCTGTTGTTGGCCTGTGGAAAAATGTAATCATAAGAAATGAAGCTGCAGATAGAGCCATAAGAAATGAATGCAACTGATTATTTAATGTTTAATGTTGTTTTTATAGGCAATAATTTAAGCTTAGTTAGTTCCAGGTTTAATATGTGCAATAGGTTCATTTCAATAAGTTTTGCAATAAACATTGAACCAGTCCGGTACTCGACTAGTACCGTTTTTTTTATTTTGGCCCACTGTGTATTTGAGTTTGACCCCCCTGCCTTATAGTAAAGAGAAAGTACTGCCTCCACAACACAGGCAGTACAACAGTAGGCTACTTCTCAATATAATACAGTCCACACACAGAGTCCAGAATTAAACATATATCATAGATATTCACGTTATTAGTACATAACGTTATGTAAGTGCCTGTTCCTATAATAATAATAAAATCCAATAAAACTGTTCAGCTGTGTGTATCACTTAACATGTCCACAATTCGCTTAATTAAACTCCTAATTATATTTCTTCTTTGCAATGATAAACCTATAGTCACAACACTGCCGTAAAATAACTGTGTCCTAACTTCCTTTGTTGCTGTGCTCCGGTCAGTACTCACCGTAGAGCCCCGTCGGTGCGGCTCCCGCGGCGGGCTCGCTCTTCACGGCGGAGGAGCTGCTCTGGGTGTTCCGGCTGGGCGCCATGGCGCGAGGGGCTGTGGGCGGACAGCGGGAGAGAAGTGAAGAAGAGCCGGCTGAGGAAGAGTTTCTCCTGCTGCTGTTCCCTCCTCTACTGCCTCCCTCCTCCAGACTACTCACACAAGCTCGCGCACTTTGTAGACACGTCACGCCAAAGTGATGCACCCACCTGCACACCGTGCCATAAAGGGTCCGGGCAGACCCAGGAGTTAAGGTCTCCAGGGGCGGGTATAGACCATTTTACTTTTACTTATAATATTAATTATAATATTGATATGTTACACTTTTTAAATTAAATTTCAATTTAGAAAACAAAAAACACATTATCTAACTGTGGCAGAGGTTACAGCAGATATTTGCTGCAACATGATTACTAATTGTACTATCAGAGACTCTTGTTATTGACAATTATTTTACAAACCATCAAGGCTCATTGTAACAGTCAAAAATGTAACTTGGTGTTGATACAGGGCAACAAAATAAACAACATACAGCAAACAAAAAAATGTGCTGGTCCTATTCAAGCAACATAAATAAATCAAATAATGCGAAAAGTTTCTGGGCGTTTTTGAGTCTCCATACTGGGGATTGCAGCAGATTCAGACAGCAGCCTATACACCAACACTGAAACACATGAGCACATACTACAGCTTAAAAAAGCAGAAATACAATCTGAGCAGACAGAAAATGCTCCGTTTTAGTTTAATACACGCAGTTAAACTCACACACACTATTTTATGATCATATATGATATGATATATGATATGATATATGATCACCTGCTGAATTAAAAACAGAACAAATGAAGCAAAGAAAGTAAAGATGACACCTAGATGTATTTAAACTGAGATTCTGCTAAACACTCCCTCAACAGTGACACTGTAACCCCTAGATTCCACCGGGTCCGTCTGCGGCGCGTTACGGACGCGTTACGGCTGCGCCGCGGTGCTCAAGGTGATCGCGGCCACTCTAGTCAATGGGTGCTATTCCACCACACGCGGCGCGTTACGGCTCAGACGCGTCCCAGAAGCGTCCCAGAAGCGGCTCGGCGCAGGGCTTTTCTAAAATTAGGATCGAATTCTATTTTTGTCACGGCGCAGCCGTAACGTAAGGTCGGGCAGGCAGGAAGTGGAACGTTCAGAGCTATATAGACCTATATATACACACACACAAACTAATTTTGCAGACCCTATCCCTCCGTAGTCTTTCAAGTAGGAGGAGAAATGCCAGCGTTCTCCTCCGGTTTACAGGCACTGTGTAAATTATATATATAGAATAATTATGATGATGAATGCATTTTTTTTACCACTAAAATACAGCAACACATCTTTGATTCATGTCGTTTATAACTGGAATATTACAGTTATTATTAACTTTGTCTGTACAAAGTAGCCTGTCCAGGAAATATGCCCAAATCAACAAAAACTGCGAGCCGGCAGGCAAGACTCTCCGCTTCTGAAATGCTTCTGAAACGCGCCTGGTAGGGTATGACGCCGGAGGAGGCCGGACCAAAACCGCGACGCGCTCGTAACGCGCCGCAGACGGACCCGGTGGAATCTAGTCTCCTCAACTGCCTCCAGGATATCCACAAATGGATGTCACAAAACTCCCTGCAGCTAAATGCTGATAAAACGGAAGTAATTATGATAGGTCATGTTGATACTGCCGTCACCCACATTTCTAACAGCCTTAGTTCTCTGTCCCAGTCTATAAACCATCAGTGCCGAAATCTTGGTGTCATTTTCGACCCTCCACTCAGACAAACATGTACATTCAGTGGTTCAATCATGCTTTTATTATTCGCTTTGGATGATGATTGACTTGTAATGTAAAGTAATGTAAACTGGACAGTTGGAGCATGTTTAATAAAGGAAGTTGTGCCAAGAGCTTCCACCACAAGAGGGCAGTGTGAGACCAGCTAACAACCAGGAGTAAACCTTTACAGCCCCAGAGGCAAAATAACAAAGTTATTGATTGATTCAATAAGATAAAAACAAGACAAAAATACAATAAGAAAAAACACAGCAGCTAAATGCACAGACTACAGTATATTTCACTCTCTGCACTGGATAATTGTACTCATGGTGTGAGCACTGAGTACAATCTAAATATATACCTCTGTATATACTAGCACAGGATAGACATTACATTACATGTCATTTGTTAGACACTTTTATCCAAAGCGACTTACATAATCTATACTGTGGACAATCCCCACAGGAGCAATTAGGGGTGAAGTGTCTCAGGGACACAACAACATGCTGACTGCAGTGGGACTCGAACTTGCTATCCCCTGATTCCAAGTCCATCGTGCTATCCACTGAGCCACAGCCTCCTAACATCATGATATAACTCTACAATAATGTTTGCATTTGTTATTCATTCCACAATGATTTACAAAATAAGATGATGATGTTTAGTAATGAATAATAAATAAATATGATGTTAAAAAAGTTAAAGTGAAGGCAGTATTGAAAAGTAAAAAATGTGGTAATGGAGCTTAGCATGAGTTCAAGCAGGAAGACTGGCTATACATGAATTCCCTCTACAGCTGCATTAATCAGCTCATCACGGGTGTTCTCTCTAACCAATTACATTTCACCTCAATCTCCAGCAGCCAATCGTCGTGCTGCAGTCAAACTTTAAAATCGTTCTCCTGCAATCAGCTGTGATTTCAGGTGTCTATGCTGCGGCCCGCCTCCACCCCATCTACCTCCAGTCATCATGTTCAGTGCTAGGAGAGCCAATCCAAAGACCTCATCACACCTCCTCTTCATCCCATCTCCTCATCAATCCAGATCTTCAGCATCCTCTTCATCCCATCTCCTCATCAAATCCAGATCTTCAGCATCCTCTTCATCCCATCTCCTCATCAATCCAGATCTTCAGCATCCTCTTCATCCCATCTCCTCATCAATCCAGATCTTCAGCATCCTCTTCATCCCATCTCCTCATCAAATCCAGATCTTCATCATCACCACCAGTGTCTAGACCCCCTGGGGGTTTTCCTAATATACTCCAGGCTGCACTTCCCCCTTAAAATATACGATATCAGAATCGGGGTCTTATCTCCAGAGACTATTAACAATGAAAAGGGATCCAGATCAGACGATATAGACTGCTGATGTGCTGGCTGTGGGAAGAATATCTATGATGGAAGACAGTATCAAGAAATATGTATGCAATATTGAAAATAAAAAAACCTGAAATTCAGAATTAGAAGTATTTTATTTGTCCCACAGTAGGGACATGTACAATGTGTGTACACAAAAGGTAAAAAGTCACATATTAAAAAGATTGGCAAGTTAAAGAAAATCAAGTACATATTCATGGCACAGAAATAAGAAGCAGCATTCTAAAAAGTGAAAATATATGAGGTGGCAGCAGAGTTTAACATTACTACTGTGTACAAATTCAAAAGTCTTCTCTTAAACAGCAGTACAATAGTCTGTGTGTAGTGGAGTGACAGCCAGTAATAACACAAATAAGTTGTAAAACAGTATATATTTCACACAAGTGTTATTGTGTGTGGTCTTCTGGTGATTATACAGTCTGACCTCTGCAGGAAGGAAGGACCTGCAGTATCCCTCCGCGAGAACAACTGTGAGAATATGAACAGTATTTAATTTAAAAGCATCAGAATCAGAAACATAGGTTTACACAAGGAATTTGTCTTGGTCTTATAGTGCATACATAAACACAGTTAAAGAAGATCAATTGTAAGAAAAACAACCAAAAAATAAAAACAATTATAAAAAACCATTAAAAGAAAATATAACATTAAGATAGAGAAAAGAGTTTACGTGAAGTATAGATATAACAAAACAAAACGTCATACAGTAATATATGCTACGAACATGCTGGGTATATTCTTACCCAAACCAGGTTAGATACATGAGGCAGCGTCTGAACAAAGGGTTGGTGTTCACAGAGGGTCCACAGGGGGGCAGTAGCAGTCCACATTAGAGGCACTACCCCCCCCCCCCCCCCCCCCCCCCCCCCCCCTCTTCTTCTGTTCTCAGTCAGCAGGGATCACAGAATGGCTTGGATATCACATCAGCTCTGAAACAAAGCTCCATACTTTATAGCGCAATTCTACCTACTACAGAGCCACATTACTGACAGCCTTTGATTCTCCCATTATCCACGCATGGGGCCACTCCAGGCCCAAAGAACCGCCCTGCTCCAGCACCACCGTTATCATCACACCCACACATGTCGTATCGGCTGCTCGTCTGTTTCAACTTCTCTGTGTTAGTGAATCAAAGCAGCACGTTCACAGCACTTTCTCTCAAATTCATGAGACACATTTACAAATGCTGAGGTTCTTGTATTCAAAGACTATGCCCATTTATTCTGACCAGCTAATTAGCATTCCTGTAATATATCCTGTGCGCGGGGGCACAGACAGGAATTGGAGTGTTCCTGATTCATTGCTTCTGTTGAGCGCTCCTGATACGCTCATAAGAAGCGTTCGGTAGGAGAAACTGGTCAGAGTGTTAGCATAAGGGGTGAATCTTTTCTGTTAGATCTGGTTTGGTGACGTTAGGATTGTGTTATTTTTTTATTTGTCTTTCTCTAATCCTGGGTCACGCTTTTTCAAACATGAATAATAGTAATCCATATCAAAATGCCGGTAATATAAATGAATGTTGATCATATGAAGTGATATGAAGTGGTTATTTTTAAAGAATAGATCAAAACTATCTTGTGTAACTTACTAAACTAAACTGAACAGAATTCTGATCGTTTCAGATCGTGTCTATTTTCAGGCTGGTTTGTGGATTTTCAGCAAGTTCTGATTAAACATTGTGTTGTACTTGTACCTGGTGTGGATGGAAGGAGATATCGTTTCTAAAAAGAACAGCCAGCACATCAAAGACTAGCGTGACTAGCGTTAGCAGTTTTTTGCTACGCAAGCAACTGAATGTAGCTACACATGCTGCTGTTATCTTGTATGATTTGAACGGTGAATAAATATCCTCTCCGCTTTATTGCAACATTTTATTTTCATTTGAAGAGATCTTGGTTTACTTTTGATGCTAGTTAAAGTTGAGAATTGCCTGTAACTGAATATGTACACATGAAACTCTGAATATTAGTATTTTTAGATTTAAGCTCTGCTTCCAATACAGTCAATGATGACATTGATTGTTGAGAGACTACAGTAGTGTGTATGTCATTGTCTCAGTTTACAATGGTTTAGGATTTATCTGTCTAGTAGAGACAATTTTCAAATCACTCCATGGACTAGCACCTGGACACTCGTCAGACATGACCCCTCAGGTCCTCTGACCTGTGTGAGGAGGACAGACCGCTACAGGGAGGCAGTGTGAGGGTCCTTGGTTCCCCCCTGTGGAATAGTCTGCCAGAAACAACGAAGGCATGTCAATGAAAACACCTTTAAACCAAATCTTAAGACTTATTGTTTTACCTTAGCATTGTCATGATCTAATTTCAAGTTTAACACACATAACTCATTAATCTTCTTTCTGATTTTTTTATGCAAACAAAATACATTGTATTCCAATACGGTATGAACTGTGCAATGGTCTGCGCTATAATAGGATGTCAAAAAAGTCTTAATCAAAGACAACGTTTTGGTAATTGTATGCCTAGGGCTATGAAATGGTCAAATTCAATGACTAATGAATAACAATCACAGAAGCATTCTGTTAACGCTTGTCATGTGTAATGTGCTGGAACTGTGGGAAGTATAATGCTGAACAGAAGACTCGAAACAGAAATAAAACGTACAAATGGTTATTTATTGATAATAATTCACAAAACATTCAAACTGAGAGATGGTTCTGACTTCAAACCTTCTTTTTAACGCATCTCTTTGACATCTCATGTCCTTCACTGTTAGCATGATTAAGGCAACAGGTGCATTCTTCATTTCAATAACTTCAATATCATCAGCAGCTAGGATGACTTTACACAGGTTGTTCAATATAAAAGCATCAACTACTGTTACATATTAAATATGACACATTGTTTGATTAAAACAACGGTTGATTCATGATACATATAAGTATTATAATCTTTACAATATACTTGTAATGATAGGACCATTAATGTGGCAATAAGGACTTTTTTAGGTGCAAAAAACATGCATGTTCTTCAAAACAATTACTTCATTTACGGACATGTGAGACCTGTACTGTACCAACACACACTTCCTGACCACACACACGCACCATACTGTTACATATATAGTTATATAAGTATATGAAGCACTAGCAAGGTTAGTGGTTTGACAGTGTGTTCACATTCTGTGCTCACCAGGCTTTCATGAATGAATGGAAAGAAGAAGAATAGCAGAGGGGGCTCCACACTCTACGGCTAGCTGTAGCATGCTAATGCGCTGCTTGCTAATTGCGAATAAAGGAATAAAGATGGACGGGAATAAAGGAGTTGAAGATGTGTCCCCTTTTTACAAGGTGAAGATATATCAAGGGTATCACATTTAAACCCTGAGGCAGGGTCCGCTGTTCCTGAGTAAGAGCAATTGCTTTTTAAGGTGAAATGATTTAGACTGCAAACCTGAGCCAGATTAACATTTAAACTCTAAACTTTCACAAATGCGCTCATATGGCATTATACCAGATTAAATGTCTGCGTAATAAGTGTATATTGATATTTGTACACTTAAACTTTAGATGTCACTTCTTCTGAGCACATACTAGTGATAGAGGTTGCATTTTATTAATGCTGGAATTTTGTATTAATGCGTATTTCTTCTAATTGTAAGAGATAATGAGCCCTGTCCACAATTATTAGAGCAGTGTACTTTGTAGTCATTAGTACACTGACTTGCTTCTCTGACAGCAGAAGAAGAAACATCTGTACACAGCAGGTAAGGGGATTTTAGAAAACATCACACTTGACTTTGGACCCATGTTTCCTGTCTTTATGACTTGCTGTTACATGTCTAGGAGTTGTATAAGGACACTGGCTGCCTGAAACTTCTGAGCACTAATCAAATACAAACTGTTAATAAGATTACATTTGAATTTCACTAATTATATATACATATAAAAAAAGTACGTTAAGGATATGAGAGCTTAAAAGCTGGATTATACAGTGAGATATACTGTTTCATTGAAATGAGAGGATCAGCATTATGTTCTGCCCTCACCTCTATTACTTCATACACTGGGACCATTCAGATGAAATTGGCTTTGATGCCTGTAATGTTTCCATGTCTCTTAGCTTCATATCGTCCTCTCCCCTCGGTCACTCCTGCTTTTTGATGGCGCGTCCCTTGAAGTGGTCCATGAGGCTGAAGGCTCCCAGGTATTGGCCCAGCATGATGCCCTGCTTCACAGGGAGGAGGCTGCGGAGAAACAAAGGTCTGTTTTATCTCTCACTTTAGTTCAGGTGAGGAGTGGGGTATGGATATGAAACCAACGTAAGAAGCACCTAAAAGAAGATCAAGTTTAGTTTATATATGTTAAATATATGAATCATGTACAGTAGTGGGGAATGTTCTGTATTGACCTCAATCCATAGGCATTTATATTTAATGTGGTTCCATTTCATGTAATTATTCCAACAATAAAGTGACACACTCCCTAGCTCTGCGTTCGCTGTTTCAACGGATTCTCTTAAAGCAACATGTCAAAGGGATGATGCATTATGCTATGTGCCCACACTTTCTATGTGCTGCACACATTGTTGTGCAGAGGGAAAGAGTATAGGTTGAACACAACTTTTTTACTTGAAAATCAGTTTCAGATTCAACATTTAGCACTTCCGGTTCCCTCAAATCGAAGTCAATGGTTTTTTGAACACGTTTGTAGTTAGAAGCCTGAAATAAGATATGTGGTTAACACAAGCTGAAGAGATGATCACGTTTTGTTCTAGGACATAACATACGTCAGTAAATACCCCACTGCTGAACACAGAGCGGAGCAGAGCAGAAACACATCATGCACCTTGGTGACCGGACCTCTTCTTCATAAAACTAGTAATCGGGCGTAGTAATCGAGCAGTGTGATGTGTGTAGAGGTGTGTGTGTGTGTAGAGGTGTGTGTGGTTAAAACGTAGCAGCCTGCGGTCGCTCTTTAGCTGTTCTAATGAAGGTAAACACAGTTGACTCTTTGCAGCTGGTGCTGGTGAAGTGTTCCTTCTATAAACCAGCTGTGGGCAGCAGATACTGTGAGAGTCACGGACATGAATTCATAGATCACGGCAGACTGGTGCACACACTCTCCTGTTTTGCCGATCTGGTGCTTAAACAAATATAGCTCTACACCCCTGGACGAAATGCTCTTATACGGAAGTCCGAGTTTGAAATACATCTCAAGTAATATATGCACTGTCATTTCCACACCTAAACATAACCAGGGATGCAAACACATGTATGTTGAAAAAAGAGACAACTATTCGAAGCAGAAAAAAAACAGTGTAATATACCATGTGACAAAGGCCTGTGCTATAATGCTTCAATGAACTGGCTATTCTTTATAATATACTCAGATCAATAGGAGACAGAGATGTTAAGTTATAAATCAAGGGTTTTTATTATTATTTACACCAAGGGCCATTTCAATTTTTACAACATCCTCCAAGGGCCGTACAAATTATTGACCTCAACCTCTACTTAAAAATCCTAAAATCACAGCCCATTCATTTGGCCTTTCTTTCATGCTGTGCAAAGAAAAAGCAACCTCTTAATCCAGATATCTTACCATGACTCGCGCATGCATGCACGGTTGTTGTGGCATGACCAACAAAGATTTTGTTGAAGTTAAAAGCATCAATCTGGTGCACATTGAGAGCAAAATGAAGAGATGGATACATCTCTCAACACCCATATGAAACAGACCTGTAAGCAGATTTTTCTTTTTCTTTATGGATATTTTACAAATCACTCCCCTTTTAAACTGTATTCTTGTTATTTTTAACAACTTTTTTGTTTCTGTCATATAGTATTTTATACTCGTTTTTCATTTAGTCTCTTATTTTTGGGCTTACAAGTTACAACTAAAGTCACAGCCACGCAAACACTGCGGCATGTGTACGGCTCCTTATGGGTACTGCAATATTTGAAGTGCTGGAGCGGCGTTCCGGTGCTCTCCGTCAGCACTACACCACGTGATGACACGTTACGCTCGTGTTGTGTTCTAGGAACCTGTCTTTGGCCAGGAAAAACAGGCACTCGTTTGTTTAATTCTTTTGCAGTCTAGATTAGGTTGTCCGTCAGTCCTTGAGTCGGACCCCCCCCCAAAATGAAAACTCTTCGGTTCTCCACAAATTACACAAGTCACCCAAATCAGCATTAAAAAAGCGAGAGGCGCTGAAAAGCAACTAATTTGCATGCACAATAACAGTCTGCAATGAAATGGTGGTCTCCTGTGTGCTCTACTTACACCTTTGCACAATGGTAACTTTCTCATTGGAATAAGAAAGTAGGAGAAACTAACCAGTTCGCCCCACTTTTCATTTCGTTTTTTTTCATCTCCCTTAAAAGTGTGATACAGGGCATATTTTCTTCCAGGTCGGCCTACGAAAATGTGTCATCACTGCACCACCCTATATGGTGTATGGATACATGTCAGACAGACACAGGTCGCCAATTAGCTGCATCTCTTTGCAAAAATACTTCCCACTCAAAGTCAAACCAATAAAGCATGTATTATTCAGAGACACACTAATAGGGTCGAAGTAATGGTCTGTCTGTACAACTCAATACAGCTCACAGCAGCAAAACTACAGCCTGCTAAAATACCCAGTGAGACGCAGCAGGAACAGTGAAGCTCCACGAGGAGGATTTATGAGACATGTGGTTTGAGCGGTGGTCTTAATAATCTGCACTCTGACTGAAGAGTCACTGTACCTCAGGTTATCCACAGCGCATGGGTTCATCTATTTATTTCTCTATCACTTCGATTTATATGTATGATCCCGTGCTGCATTTCTTTTGATTTAATTTGATGTCTTATTTATAAGCTCAATAGAGAAATAGCCCTGGAAAGATTGATATATTTCATTAGTAGTTCAATGAAGCTCTTAGTCTAGACACGGGATCATTGGATTTATTTGTCAGAAAGGTACAATTTGTAAGTTGCTTCACCAAAATGATCCCATATATCACTGTCATTATGGAAGGTGATGTTCAAGTACCGGAACACAAAATGCTTAAATGGTGAATTTTGTTTTACCTTTAAGCCGGTCAACGACACAAGCAACAATCTATCTGTTGTTGTGCAGTGTGCCGTTTTATGGCAGAGCTGATCATGGGATTTTTGTTTACAATAGCATAAATAAAGAAAAGAAAAATCAGGATGGCCCCTAATGCTATGGAGGAATGCTATATTTCTGGATAACCCATTTAAAGCCAGAAATAAATATACATTTATCTAATTGCACAACATATTTGTACTAATGTAAAATCATTAGAGCCAGAATGCCTCCTGCATTCCTTGTAAAAAAGATTTGTGTTAGCAGCTTCTCGATGACTAACAATGACTCTTTTGTCTCCGAAGACGGAGCAGAGACAAGGCTGGATAATACAACGCATTATTAAAGACGGAATACAAAGGCTTTTATGTAAAACCAGCAGAGGGGACAGGAAAAGCGCTATCTCCATTTGTGTGAGCCGTGTTCCAGAGAGGAAAATCTTTCTAATGAGAATCATTTATAAATATGAAATAATAGCTCCGTTCTGAGACAAATGGACCAGAGAAAGCAGGGAAGGAGGACAGAAGACTGCAGAAAGACCTCGGAGCACTGAGGGATCAAGACAATGCTCCTCTTTTATCACCTGGGTCAAGTGATGGGAGTCATTCACACTACTGCTACTGCTGCATTATGGGAAATGTAGGCATCAAACCTATTCCTGTTATTAAGACTTCACACATCCGAAAATCCTAAAAAGGGCCCTATTATGCTCCTTTTCAGGTTCATATTTGTATTAAGGGCCTCTACTGTGACATGTCTCAGAGCTTTAACGTTCAAAAAGCTCTTTTCCCCCTCTGTCTGAAACCAGAGCCCAGTGTGTAGTAGAGAAACTCCCTCTGGAGGGAACACTATATATACGAATACACTAAAAGCTACAGTATAGAACACACTACAGGAGAGGGAACACCCTGTATATTCATCATTATTTCATATTTGAAATGCTGCACGTTGCAGTTTAATGAGGATTAAATAATTGAATGTAATTGGCCATGATTGTCTCAACCTGTCACATCCGTCTGTGAGGTATGCTAATCTTTTCTTTCTGAATAGATCAGAGATCTCCTTATACTACCTTTTCCCCCTGATAATGCTACATTATGAACAATGTGATTGTGATGAATTTGGCAGGAGGAAAGCTAGCTAGCATTCGCTGTTAGCTGCAGGAGGGCAGAACAGTACTGCTTTGCTAAATTCAGGAGCTAACAGCTAACTTTACCAAAGGTGCCATAGAGTAACATTATGATGTTTTAGAACTCTTTCTAAAAGTGCATTAGTGAAGTTAAATGTCATGTTTAAAATGTAGTTTTGCCGGGAATTTAATGAATCCAGTTGTTGAAAATAAATGTTTTCACAGCAAAGTATAATAGATATTAGAGAGGGATTCAGAACACCTTATATAAAGACCCTAAGCAGAGGGTATACATAGGTGTTTGTTAAGGAGATGGTCATTATTGTTTTGTTTTTCACCAGGGTATCAAACTGGGTGTCCAGAATCCTGGAATGTAATCAAATGTATCGGTAATACTAATACAGTATACTACTAATACAATTCTAGTATCAGTATCCTACTATCAGTTATAACTTGATACTGCACATGTGTGCTCTCCCCTCCCTGTTTGCCATTTCAAACTCCAGCTCCTTGGTAAAGCTTCCATCAGCAGACTGGTAAGTGCATCCTCACAAGAAGCACTCTTACGAATCAATAATCCTTAAAAGCAGTGAGGTTAGTATCATGTCCACTCCACTCACTACCCCACTTCATTCCGTTAAACCGAAGATAAGCTCCATCGTTCCTCTCTGGCAGAACTGAACCAGTTAAAATGGCTTTTCAGATCATTTCAGCTAAACCAAACCCCAACCAATTGTTTTCCAAATCTAACTAAGCAGTCCACGTCATATATAGCGAGCTTATCCCTCCTCAAACTCCTTATCTAATTTAGACAGCATGAGTATTACCAATCGTTATGTTGACTGCTGCTTGGCATTCAGGTAAAACAAAAGTGTTATGAGTAAAAACCACGACACAAATAAAAACTGGGTACAGTAGTTTTTATTGTTTTAAGGGACACCTTAGATTATTTAACAAATCAAATACAAGAATTGATGATTTGTTGTGTAGCCACCATTGGTAATAGCAGAGACGGTCTGTAA